AACAATAACTATTTACATGTCCATTCCAAGTGTATTCCACAAATTGAAAGTCACAAACACACACACACACACAAACTTACTAAGAAGCAGACCAATATACCATAGGGTTATCCACTTATTTATCTCAATGTTTGATTGCATATGCAAGGTCAGTGAGGGGTGCCAAGGTTTAATGAAATTATCCATTTTCATTTCCCCTCTCAGGATTCTAGTCCGTCTAGTCAATTTCTCCACTAGTGCACTTTCCTGTTCCCTTCCTAAGTGTCTTGGAGAGGAGACGCCCTTAACATCTTTCCAGGTTTGCCCAATTTCTAATCTCGCTGCTCCCCTGAGGATCTCACCCACTCTTTATTATTTAAATTCTCGTTCCCATCCACAAAGAGGGAGGATAATAGGAGAGTTTGATTACCAATCTTTTTTTGATGCATTAAATTTCCTAACCATTTAATTGCCTCTTTCCAGAATAATTCCACTTTTGCACAAGATATCCACATATGCTCAAGCAAGCCTTTTACCCCGCAATTTTGCCAGCACGTGTCTGATATTTCCTTATTTATTTATGAAGATTTGTTGGGAGGAAGTGCCATCTGTGAATGCTCTTCAATACCATTTCCTCAGATCTTGCAGATACAGATTCGTATAATGGAGAGTTTCATATTCCTGTCCACCCTTTTTCTGGTATTTTAATGTTTAAATTCCTTTCCCATACTGCTTTTTTTCCTGTGTAACTGGTGCACTCATCTTTTACCATATTTAATACAAAATTGAGGTTAAAGCTGTGTTTAACTATTCGCATCTCCCATACCATAATTTTCTAACACTGTCAATGTTCTCATAGCTCCTGAAGTTACCTATTCGTGATTTGCAAAATCTCTCGTTTGAGTTGGTTACATCCCCCTTAGTTTTTCTTTGACCAGTGTTTTCTTTTCAGCACCTGATTGAAACTGGTTTCCCATGTACAAATCCATCTCCAATGCTAGAGATGCCTATTTCTTTCCAGCCTCTAAATTGTGCATCATCTTCTTGAGATTTCAATTTAAGTTGCTCTGAAAATGGGCAGAATAGAGATAGAGGTGGTGCCAGAGTTTCATATAGTTATGCCATATTCATATGATTCCTTGATGAAAGGGCTTTGAATGGTTCTTTATGCTCCAACAATTTGGGTATGTATAAATAAGAATTAATTGTACGGTCTCCCTGTACTCCCTCCATCTGAATGCAGTCGGGGATCTTGTTCACTTGCCTACGCTTTACAGTTCAGGACATTTGGAAGGCTTCGTAAGATTTCATTATATGTGGGAATGCCAATCCTCCTCCCACGGCAGTGGCAGCTCTCCCTTTTGCACTGTCTCGAAATCTTAGATTATTCTGATTCGCTGAGATAATTTTATCCGTTTTGTTTTTGTTTTGGCCACAACTTTGGAGGTGGAGCAGTGGTTTAAACCCCTGTGCTGCTGGGCTGGTTGATCGAAAGGTCGCTGATTCGAATCTACACAATGGGGTGAGTTCCAGCTCCTTCCAACCTTGCAGTTCAAAAGCATGCAAATGCAAGTTGATAAACAGGTATCACTTCGGTGGGAAGGTAACAGTGCACCTTGGTGTTTACTCATGCCGGCCACGTGCTCCTCTGCTCAGAAACGGAGATGAGCACCGCCTCTAGAGTCAGACATGACTAGACTTAACTTCAAGGAGAAACCTTTACCTTTACCCTTATGGGGAAAAGGCAGGGTGTGCTCAGCAGTCCCTTTTCCTGCAAAGAAGAGCACCTGCGCAAAACAGCTCTGAGGAAGCAACAGCCCTTTGTCTCCAAATGTCCCACCCCATTCCAGATGTGTGAGAGAGCACGGCAATTCCGCGTACCTTCCCTGCCCGTCCCCACGACTCCGCATCCCTCTGTCGAGAGTTAGCTCGCACGCCTCGCAGAGCAACAGCCCACCCTTCCAACTGAATGCTGCCCTGTATAGAACCACAGTGCTGTCCTGGCGTCTCTAATCTCGCACACACACTTTCAGTAAAAATCGGTGGTCGCCAAATGGTGCAGGAGAACCTATTTCCAAACCCCGTGCCATGAAAAACGGAGTGAAGCCTCCATCTGAGGGCAGCTGAGCTGCCACAGAGCCTCACTTCCTCCCCCACGTGGCGCTGCGCCGGGGATGCGGAGAGCTCATCCCAAACGTTTGGGGAGCTCCGCTGGGAGAAGGCCTGCCGTAGGCCAAGCCCTGCAGAGCAGACCTCTGCTTGCTGTCAGCCACGGGGAGGACCCTCCCGGGGTGCCCGTGCACCGGGGCCTGGGGCGCTGCTTCCACGCATGCACGGCTCCTCCGCTGCTTCGCCCGCGACCCTTGACCTCCCCCTGCCCCATTTCAGGAACAGGGAGTCGCGTGCCCACGCAAGCGGGTTTGGGACTTCCTTGGCTCCCCCACAGGCCGTTCCTCTTACCAAGGCCGTGTGGATCCCGGCTGTGCCACACCTTCCATTTTAAACCTGTTTAGCCCCAGGTGAAGGACTAGAGCGAGAGCGCGCTCAACGGCCGAAGTGCCGAGGCCGAGAAGTGCCTGCCCGCCCATGTGGCAGCCCCGCCGGTGCGGTTGGGGCCCTCCCCGGCAGAGCTGGCCTCCCGCGGGGCAGTGCGGACCCGTCCTCCTCAGCGAGGGCACCAGCCCTGCATGCCAATGCGACAGGCCCTTCCAAGGATGCCAGACCGGTCCCACTGGAGTGCAGCTGCCTTGCTGGGGCCGCCCACAACGGTGCGCTTGAGGAAGCCTGCGCTGAGCCCACTTGGCCCGGCCGGGGGGTGCTCGACTTGCTGCAGAGGGGTGCGCCCCCTCACTGGACCAGCTCCATTCAGCTTGGGGTTGCTTGTTGTGGCTTACCTGAACCTGAAAGTCCAGGCCTGGGTTTCTGATGTGTAAAATGTAGCTTTGCTTGGTGTAAGTGGACTTCAGTTCCCTTGCTATGCTACTGAAAGAGCCTTGCTTTGGGGATTACCTTCTTGGCCACCTCTGCCGGTCTTCCCACCAGGCGAGGCTCCCCAGAGATGGATCAGAGGAGGGAATGGCTGTGCTGCTGCGGCCTTCTTTCCCTCGGCTGTGCTGCCTACTGGCCCCGTCCGAGGCCTTCACGCCAGAGGCCAGCACGAGCCCCCACTCACAGGCATGTGCCATCACTTTGGCACCTTTGAGTGGGGGACCTTGGTGGGCCAGGCAGAGGCTCAAGATTGTTCGTTCATTATGCGTGATTATTATTAGCACCTGCATGAGTCATCTGTGTACTCCTGTGTTACGATTATAAAGTGATGCAGAATGATGCACACAAGCCCGTCTTCGATCGTGTGACTCACGTAAGGTCGCTGCCGCCTGTGCTCCCCTTTGGCCTCCTCAAGGTAACCCCTGCTGCCTGCCTGCCTGCTCCAGCGGACTGGGGGTTCCCCTGCAGTGTTTAGCTGCTAAAACCCAGCTGGTGTTTGGTGTGTTGCAGGACAATAAACCATTTCTCAGGACGTTAAGCTGCTTGGCCAGGTTTGTCATGTTGCTGCAGAACATAAACCTGTTTTGAGTGTCACCAAGACAATGGATTGTCTTGACTATCAGTCTCTAGTTAAGGGGACTGCGGGGGGGGGGGGTGTCACTGCACAACACCCGCCCTTGGCTGGCAAACCTGGAGATGACATATCACTTCCTGGGAATCAAGACCTGCCTCACCATGGCCAGGCCCCCAGGAGGCGCCCTGGTGGCCTTCACGGCACGGGGCACCCCTGCCAGTTCAAGCAGAGATGCTGGGTCATGTCTACCAGCCAGCTCTGGTCGACCTACAATTAGCCCTTTTGAAGGACAGACCCGAGGTTCCCCCCGGATGTGCCATCCGTGGGTTCAGTGACCCTGAAAGCCAAGACTCTGCCGGCACCAGTTTACATTCCTGTAAAACGGAATAAAAGGGGAGGCTGTTTTTAACTCGGGGCTCCACTTTGTCTACTTTGGCACAGAGCCATTTTCCTGCAGAATAAAGCTTTTTCCACCTCGTGCCCCAGGAGTATTTGACTGGCTTCCGTGCACACCAGGAGCAAATCCCACTTTTGTGGACAACGCTTTTATCTCCCCATCTGTTCAATTTGCGTGCAGAACATATCATAAGGAGAGCTGGATTAGGATCAGAGGAAGGAGTGAAAATTGGCAGAAGATACATCAGTAATTTAAAATATGTGGATGACATCATGCCAGTAGCAGAAAGCAGCAGTGAAGTGAAAGAAGAAAGTGCAAAGGCGGGACTGCAGCGGATATTAAGAAAAATCACGACTGCAGAAGAACTACAGAACTGCACTGTGAACAATGGAGAAGCCGAAATGGTGAAAGATTGCTCATCCCTTGACTCAGTCATCTGTTCAAAGGGGGACTGAAGCCAAGAAATCAGAAAAAGGTGGAAGCCAGGAGGGGCAGCAACGAGGGAGCTAGGAAAGATAACCAAGAGTTAAGATGTCTGATTGGAGACCAAGGCCCAAATCATCCACACTTTTGTATTCCTGGTTCACGGATATGAAAGCTGGGCAGTGAAGAAACTTGACAGGAAGAAAACTTGTTTGAAACATGGTGCTGGAGAAAAATTGGTGAATACCTTGGACCAACAGAAAAACAAACGAGTGGCTCCTTCGAGCACCTTAGACAGAACTTGTTTGGGAAGCAAAATGATGAAATAGAAGCTTTGGGACTCACTGAAGAAAACAGTAACTCCTAAGGAAAGTCAACGGCAGAAGAAAAGAAAAACCAAAGATGAGATGGATGGACTCCATAAGTGAAGTGCTGACAATAGCTGATCAGCGCTGATGTAACAACGAACAGTTTAAACATATTTTGTATACAGGGCCCAGAAATCTTAATTGTTCACTAAGAATATAAAATGCCACTTATATAAGTTCTGGCTAAAAACTTGGAAACACAGGCTCATGCTCCCCCTCTCTCGCTTCTCAAACCACATTTCTTAAGGTGAGAACATGCACGGAGGCTAAATTATACTTAATTACATTTATTTAGTTTAGAGACCACAACCCAGGGTCAAAACAACAGCCTTTAAACAACTGAAAAATCCTCAACACCTATAAAAGAGGAAACAAATGAGCAAACAAACACTCCCCCAACTCCCCGCCCCCCCCCAAAATAAATAAACAGAATCAAATCGAAACATTGGTCTTTGGCGGGTTTGGAGGCATTTGGCAGCTCGACACCACCTGCGCTGGCCCCTTTTCTCCTGCGGTCTGGCAGGAAAATCGGATGCACACGCCCTTTTAAATGAGAACAAGACGCTGAGCCTGGCACTCGCCGTGGCTGGAAATGCAAGGGAGCTGCCCGCATGCCCTCCCTCGTCAAGAGAACGGCTTCCATGGCCGCGACTCCTTTTGCTGCAGCTTCTGAATCAGTTCCAGCAGGTTCATCTGCAGGGTCAGCTCCTGTGAAAAGCAAGTCACATCTTTGCCTCGGAACAAGAGCAGCCCGTTCCCCGAACGCCGGGGGAGCGATGACCACGTCTGCCGGCGCACGAGACCCATCCACCCTTGCCGGAAGCGCCAGTGCCCCGTGGCCAGCAAGAGCCCACTCGGCAGGCACTCTGCCGGGAGGACAGGCCGGGGCCCGAGGCACCTTGCGTGCAAGGCCACCGACTGCGGAGCGCATGGGGCGGGCGGCACACGCCGGGGCTCCCCGTCGGCCGCAGCAGCCCCGCTCGCAGGCCGGGCTCTTGGAGCACCGTGGACCCGACCGTGACTCTCCGGGAGCCGCTTTGGGTGGGGCGGGGCAGATTCCGGGGGCCTCTGAGGAGGCTGGCGGGTACAGGAATCGGCTCCACTGCCCATGTTTACAGGGAATGAGGAAGAACCCTCAGCTCTTTGGGGTCAGATCTGGCGCTTTTGACATCAGAGCATCATGGGGCCCTTTCCATACCAAACTGGGTTCTGGATGTTCACTTTTCTTCTCCCTGCTGGATGTGGGGCACGACTGTGGCAAGTGCCTTATGGGACACCCTCCCACGCAGCCCTTCTCCCATGCCAACTTTTTCAGCTGGCTGAGGAGCCTTGGCTGTCGGGGTTGCAAGGCCTGCCACTGCGCCCCCTTGCTGCCTTGGCCCCGCACCTTCCTCCTGGCAGTTTCATAAGCAGCGCTGCCTGTGGGCTCGCTCGTTCATCCTACGCCAGGAGCATGTGGCACACAGGCTGCACAACGGCCCAGGCAGGCCCCTCCGTCCCAGCGGACGACAAGCGGGGGACCGTCTGCTGATGAAACTCGCAGGTGATACTAAAATGGGAGCCGTACTCTGGATCCAGAAGGGTCCGGACAGACCATGGAAGTGGGCAGGAGACAACAGGGTGGCGTTCAGTGTGGAGAAGTGCCAGGTCTTGCACTTGGGGCACAGGAATAGGTGTCAGAAGTACAGGTTAGGGGGCCAGTGGCTGGAGAGCAGCACTTGTGAAAGGGACCTCGGAGTGCCGGTTGACTGCAGGCTAAACATGAGTCAGCCGTGTGACGCGGTGGTCAAGAGGGCGAACACCACCCTTGGTTGCATAGCCAGAAGTGTGGCTTCTAGATCAAGAGAGGTATTACTGCCACTCTACACGACTCTGGTGCACCTGTAACTGGAGTATTGTGTTCAGTTTTGGGCCCCTCATTACAGGAAGGATATAGCCAGGTTGGAGTCAGTGCAGCGTAGGGCCACAAGGTTGGTGGCCGGTTTGCAGGGGATGCCATATGAGGCGAGACTGAGGGAACTGGGTCTCTTCAGCCTGGAGAAGAGGAGACTCAGAGGGGATATGTTGGCGACATACAGGTATGTGAAGGGATGTCACACGGAGGTGGGCAGAGGCCTGTTCTCCCTGCAGAGGAAGGCAGGACGCGCTCCAACGGAGCCAAGCTCAGGGAGCCAAGGTTCCATTTGGATGCCAGGAAGCACTTCCTGACAGTCAGGACCCCGAGGGTGTGGAATGGGCTTCCACGAGAGGTCGTTGAGGCCCCATTGGTGCAGATGTTCAAGGATAGGCTGGACATGCACATGGTGGGCATGTCGTGAGCGGAGTCGGCTGGAGCCGGGGGTCAGACTAGATGGCCCGGGAGGACCCTTCCGACTCGCTCTGTTTCTATGCTTCTATGGATGCAGGCATAAGGGAGTCTTGTTTGCATCGCTGCTTTTCTCACTGGTGGGCTGCCAAGGTGCCTTGGGAAACTGCCCAAAGCAGGGACTCCCTGCCAGGCCCCTGAAGAAGCCAGCTTCTGCACAGACCTGGGGATTGGTTGTGATATAAAACCCAGAGACGCCCGCCTTCTCCAACGTGCTCTGCTGGTCTACCACTTTCTGGTCCAGCTCCAGGACAATTTTCTCATCCAACATCTGCTGCTCGTCATGAATCCGCTGCTCCAGGGCCTGAGCAAAGGGGCGGGGGGGAGGGGAGCAGGAAACGCAACTGAGAAAGGAACACCACCCCCGGCAAGCAAGACTGCCCACCCATGCCCCAAATCTGCATGCCACAACCTGGTGCCCTCCAGGTATACTGGGCTGCCACTGCTTTTCCCATCATCCCCAGCCAGCATGACTGACCCCATCTTGGTCACACTGGGCATTTGTGGAAATGAAGCAATGGCTTGAAGACTTGTGCAATGAGCCGAGTCACATGCCGCAGGGGAGGCCTGCGGGTCCCACAGCCGTTTTACACGGAGACCCCTCTGCCCCGACCCCAGTGTGGAAGCCAGCCAGAGCCACTGCCGGCCGTGTGGGGGTGGGGGCGCAACCGATGCTGCCCAAGTTCTCCTCTCCAGTTGTGGCACCGCACGCCAGTGGTTAGAGGGGCTGTCTGAGAGGAGGGAGGCTTGGATTCAGATCTCAGTGAAAGCGGGAAACTCGCTGGGTGACCCGGACCCAGCACACTCGCCGGGGCTGCTTTTTTTAATTGTTTCACTGAACTGCCTCCTGGCTTCATCTGCAGCCTCTCCGGGGCGTGTGCAACTGCCCCTGCCTTCCAAGGACAGCACCTTTCTTTTGCAACATGGCCTCTCCTGACTGTTCCTTCTACCATTTTGTTGTGGAAACTCCATTCGGGAGAAGAAGAGATGGAAGGGGCCTTCGGACTGTTCGTGGAAGGACCGCCCATGCTGCAGCCTCCCCAGTCCACCCTGCAGGAGCATGTAGGTGGGGAGGCACCCGAGACACAGCCCCGAATTCCCCGAGGAGAAGGGGCACGTGTGGGAGAAACGTTTCCCTGGTTTCATCTGGCAGCATGGAGAAAGGGCGTCTCCGACGGACTCTCCCCAGCCTGGTGCCCTTCAGTGCTGCCAAGTGCAGCCCCCCCCCCTGCCATTTCAGAGCACTGGCTGAACTGGTGGGGGCCGACGGGAGCCGACGCCAGCAACATCTGGAGGGCGCCCAATGGGAAAGCCGCCCTACCCTGCCCCCAGCCACGCTTCCCACCTGGAGCGGAGGCGGGGCATGCTTACCTGAAGCTCCCTCTGCTGGGCCGCCTTGAGAAGGGGCAGGTTGTGCGGCAGGCAGCCCTGCTGGTCCTCCCGGTGCTTGTGCAGCATCTCCTGCTTGAGGGCTGGCAGGGACAAAGGCTGTGTCACCCCCTTTGTGCCACGAGGGAGCTCCATGGCATGCTTGCTGTGGCCCCCGCCCACTGGGCCACCGGGCTTAAGGGGGTGCCTGCGGGAAGGGAAGGGGATTGGCGGGTGGCAGGACTCCCCCCACCCCAGCAACAAGAATCCACTTTGCTCTGCCTATGAATTATCTGTGTTGTTTCACAGAGAAATGGCTCATTCAGCCTTCCTCAATCTGGCAGCACCAGAGGCGTTGGACGGAAATTCCCACCTTGGGCTTGCCACATTTGGAAAGACATCCATAGATGCTTCCCTCCATGGAAGGCAACTGGTTGATAGCCAGAATCAGTCATCTCCAAACTGGGAATGATGGGAGTTGAAGACTAAGGATGTGAAGGAAGCTGGGTTGAGAGGCAGGGTCATGGTTTCAGTTGTAAGTTAATGAGAGAAATAACTGGTAGATGTATAGCAGTCCATGCCATTCAGATATGAATCTAAACTAGTCTATTTTTAAGAAATATAATTTCACCTAATACTTAAGAAATCAACAATTCTCAAAACAATTTTTTAAAAAATTACAATTTTAAAATTAAGGTTGCAATTGGTGCAGCGAAGGGCCACAAGGATAGTGGCTGGTTTGCAGGGTAAGTCATATGAGGAGAGACTGAGGGAGCTGGGTCTTTTCAGCCTGGAGAGGAGGGGACTCAGAGGGGACCTGTGAGCGACATACAGGAATGTGAGGGGGTGCCACACGGAGGTGGGCAGAGACCTGTTCTCCCCTGCAGAGGAGGGCAGGATGAGTTCCAATGGAGCAAAGCTCAGGGAACCAAGGTTCCGTTTGGATGCCAGAAAGCACTTCCTGATGGTTAGGACCCCGAGGGTGTGGAATGGGCTTCCACGGGAGGTGGGTGAGGCCGCACCAAGGAAAGGCTGGACGTGCACATGGTGGGCATGTTGTGAGCGGAGCCGGCTGGAGCCGGGGGTCAGGCTAGACGGCCCAGGAGGCCCCTTCTGACTTGCTCTGTTTCTATGTTTCTGAAATCAGATTTTTAAAAAATCCACCTTGCCTAGAAACTGTTCTTAGAGGAAAAATTGTGCATGCTTACGGGACCTCTCTGGAATGCTGCAGACAAGCTTGGCTAAATCCCCACGAAGAGCCTGTCCTGCCTCAGTCTGGGCTTGGGAAGCTCGGCCAAAAGGGACCCCTAGCAGGGCACCCTGTCATTCCGTCTCCCAAGCATGCAAACAGCTGCCACCACGTCCCGGCCCTGTCCTCCCCAGTGGGATTCGAATCCCCATGAGGGGGGTGGGCAGTGGGACGTCATGTCTCCCCGCTGCTTAAGCACTGCAATGGGTGCCCACAAGGGGTCAACTGGCCAAGTGTGGCCACCATGCAGGCCCATACCTCGGTGCTCACTTTGCAGCTTGAGCCGCTGGTTGTAGAGGTTCCTCTCAGTCAAGTGCTGAATCTCACGCAGGCCCTGGACGATCTCAAACACCGTCCCGTCGAGGAGAGCCAGGGCCAGGTCGCTGAGGGTCGTGTAGGACAGCCTCTGCTGAGAAGCGCTGGAAGGGAGTGGAGGGACAGAGTCAGGGGACAGCCAAGAGGGCCACTACTCTTTAACCTAATACTAAAGAAGTCAGCAGGACTTAAGAGGAGGGTCCACTCCTCCTCCTATTACATTTCTACCTTGCCCTTCTTCTCAAAAAAAACCCACAGCAGCTTGCAAGGTTCCTCTCCCCCATTTATCCTGACAAAAACAACCTTGTGCAGTAGGGCTGTGATGGGCCCAAAGCCACCCAGCGAGCTCCCTGGCGGGGTGGCAACCGGAACACAGATTGCTGGAGTCCCCATCCCACGCTCTTAACCATTACAGTGCCCTGGTGCTGCCTACTGACACGAGCAGGGTGCTCCTTCTTTCAGGTAGCCACTGGGACTACCTGAAAATACGCCGGAGGGCTGCAAGTTTCTTTGACATTTGCACAGCGTGCCCAAGAAGTAAGCCAAATAAAGTAGCTGGCCTCTTCAGGTGCTCCAGCTAAAACATCCAGGAAACCCAGGTGACCCTTCATGCATGTGGAAGTTACACTGGAAACTATTCCGTCTCTGTCCCATCCACAAGAACCACCCAGGGAGGAGAAACTCACAGTAAGAGAAGATAAAATGGTGGCCACTAGGGAAGAAAACAGTGCCTTGCAAAGAACAAGAACCCAGGAAAGGTGTGTGCAATGCAGTGACTTTGGGTGAAATTACCTGTAGGCCACCTCCATTGACCTCCACCTCCACTTCTGCCTGTCCATCACCATCAGGCGAGCAGTGCTGGATCAGAGCAAAGTGCAGGCATCTTGCTTCCCGCAGGGCCCAGATAAATGCCCGGGTGGAGAGCCACAGGCCGGGTGTGTCGGCCACGGGCTTCCCCCATGGCTGGCCTCCAGCAAGCGGTACGCCACGCAAGTCTCTGCCCATGGAGCTGCCATGCAGCCAGCATGCCACGCAGCGGCTGAAGATGGGGAATGCCCGGCAACACAGGGATTTTCTCCGCCTGAATACACACAGGGCTGCACCCTGGAAAGACCCGGCAAGAGAGCCAGTGTGGCGCAGTGGTTAAGAGCACGGGACTGGGACTCAGACGACCTGGGTTCAAGTCCCCACTCAGCCATGGAGCCAACTGGGCGACTTTGGGCCAGTCACAGACTCCAGACTCTCAGCCCAACCTACCTCACAGGGTTGTTGTTGTGGGGATAAGATGGAGGAGGAGAATGATGCAAGCTGCCTTGAGCCCTTTGTAGGAAAAAGGCAGGATATAAATCGGGGAAAAAAAGAGAGCATCAAACGGAGGCTGGGCAAGTTCACAGTGGAGGACAGTAACGGATCTGCTGCTGGTGAGGTGCTGTCTTCGTAATGTGCCATATCTGTGCAGCGCCTGCAAGCATTCAAAGTACTTCACAGGCAAGATCTGGCCGGGAGCCTAACAGCAGCCCTGTAAGATAGAACAGCATGGTTATGAGAGGCTGCTTAGGAGCTGAAGGCAGAGCAGGGGCTTCCTGGCGCATCCCTCAGCCTCTCCCGGTGCACTCCTCACATGCTTAGATGGGGAAGAGTCCTTCTAATGCCCACACCTTGCAGGGCTGTTGCAAGGAGCACAATCACACTGTGCCTGAGAGGGGCCATACAAGCGGCAACTGCCCGGTGAGGAGCTTCCTCCTGCACGGCCGTCTAGCCCCCTTTACAGCATGGGTGGATTCTGCAGCCATTCCAGGCACTGCTGCATGAAGGAGGGTCTCGCTCATGGATCCCAGGCGTGGAGTTTGCACAGGGGCAGCAGGCAGCGCGGTCCAGCAGCCCCGAAGCCACTCCAGTGCCCAGCAACTGGCTGGCCTTAACGGGGGCGGGGGGGGGGCGGGGCGGGGGGGGCTGGGGAATAACCCTCCCCGGGAAACCCCGCGCCCATTTCTCCACCCCCCCTCCCCGGACTGCACAGACGCCGCATGAGGCCCCACCCCGTCCTCAACCAGCCTTCCCGGCCTGGTGACCTCAGACGGTTGGCTTCACCTCCCCTCGGCCCCAACTGCTGCGCCGACCGTCGGGGATGATGGGCGCGCAGCCCCGCGCTCCCGGAGGCGCCAGGCTGCGGCGGCTTCCTCCCGCGGTGCCCCCGGGCGGGCCGGCCCTCGGCGGCGCGCGGCGCGGAGGCGGCGGGGGTCGGGCGGCGCCGTGCACCTGGGCAGCTCCTTGACGAGGGCCTGCAGCTCGGAGAGGAGCCGGTAGTGCCGGGCCTGCTGCCGGTCCCCGGCGCCGCCCGCAAGGCCGTCCCGGTCGTCGCGGTCCTCGGCGGCCGCGTAGGCGCAGCCGGCCCCGAAGCGCGCCATGGCCGGCGGCCGAGCGGCGCGGGCGGAAGCGGCGAGGGGGGCGGAGCGGAGCGGCGGGCCGGGCCGCCCCGCCTCCCGCGGGGCGGGCCGCTGCAGGCGGAGGGGCGGTGCGCGTCGAGAGGCGTGGCAGTGCCTCTGGCCATGGGCAGAGCACCGCCTCCTCCCGCGGCAAGGCCTGGGGCGCCCCCCTCCCTCGCCGTTTCCCCACCGTCGCGGCAAGCAGGTGCGAGCCGGAGGGCAGGAGAGCCGCGTGCTCGGTCCCCCGAGCAGAGCGTTGGAGTTCGGCCCTGCGTGGTACCCTCGCCCTTGCTCTTTGCAAAACAAGGCTGAAAGGGCGCGAGTACCTCTGAGCACGTGCTTTTCCACAAAGCACACCCTGAGGGGAGGTGGCGGCCGCCAGTGTTTCGCGGGTGCACGTGCAGACTTCCAGGTGAGCCACGTGCCTCTGAGCAAGGGCAGCGGGCCGTCACGCACAGTGCACGGCTCCTCTTGCGGGCCTCCTCCCCGGGCCCGTTTGCATGCCCGCCAGCAGCCCGCTCCCCTTGGGTGCTGCCGGGGATTCTCGGCTTCCCCTGGCGCTCCCGAGCAGGGCGCGCTTCGGCTCCAGCAGCCTGCTCGGAAGGGGCGGTAGTCCCGCCTCTGCCCTCGGCACCGCGGACCTGCTGGGACAGGGTTTTTGAGGCCGAGCTCATCCGGTGCTTTGTCTTTTTCCAGCAGGCATCTCGGAGCCACATTTCGGTGTCTTGTTATGCACCTGGGACTGGTCGGAAGAGCCCGTCGAGCCTCCCTTGCAGCCCCTTCGGCTCTGTGACCCACAGGTCGTTGCAAGTCTGTGCTGAAGTGCCTCCGTGGATGCAGGTCCCTTTCTGAGGACGAGCTTCGGTGGGACCTGGGATGGCCCAGAGTGGCTACATGGCCACCCGTGGGTTAAAGTTGCCCCGAAAAGGGTGCTATGAGCTACGAATGATCGGACGCAGCGGAGGGCCTGGGGTGCTGCCTACCCCTTCTCTCCTCTGCGCCCCCCATGACTCACGGCACAGGAGAAGCGCTGAGGGACGGGGGTGCCACCTGCACAAATTGCCTCATCAAGGGGGCAACAGGGCGAGAGGTGGTGGGCCCCACGGCTTGCCATCCTCTCTGGGAAGGCAGGCAGAGGGGCTCCCGCCGCCCCCCCACCCTCATACGGGCTGAGCCGGCAGCTCTTGCCGGAACCCTGGGCCCCCATCTGCCTCCCCTGCGCTTCTGCCCTTGCTTCCCCCTGGCAGGAGCCAGGGAGGCCAGTGGCAGCTGCACGAGGTGCTGCTGGAGCCGGCTGGCCAGAGCGGCCAGCCGTCTTGTTGCTCCGGCCAAGAGGCTCAGTAGCCTCACGGCTCGTCCGCCTGAGCTCGTGCGCAGGGGTGGCTCATCACCACCCCCAAGAGAAGCCGGGGCAGATCAGGTGATGCGCTTGGCCCCCCCGACCCGGGCGTCATCGCCCTCCCCGCCGCCGAGCAGCGGGAGAGGCAGCGGGGGCTCCTGCGTGTGGCAGGAAGTCCATCTGTGCTGGAGCCCGATCTGAGGAGCTGACTCTGCTCCCTGTGGGAGACCCTCTGGCGCTCTCCTTTCCCCTGGAATGGGTGGAGAACAAGAATCCGCTGGCATGCTGCGAATCCGCCTCTCTGTGTCTAAATAAAACTTGCAGCACAAAAATGCCCCCTCCCCCCGGCACAGAACGACCGCTGGGCAGAGGCTAGAAGCAGGGGCGCGCACGTCTGACGCCAAGAGCAGCACTGCGGCTGGCCCCCCGAGCTCCCAGCGTCATTCTTGAAATGAGCGGTCCCCTGGACAATGTGCAGGGGCCCCCGCAAGGCAAAACCAGCCAACGTGTTTATATCGGGGAGGTAGCTCAGTGGCAGAGTGCACGTTTCGATGCGGACCAGCCACACTGCCCCCGGGCCTTGTCGTCCATCCCTTTGCAAGCCACCCTTGGCCGACTTCTCGAGCTGAGCTGCTTCCACGGCACCCAGTGACGCATGGCTGCACGTGGAGGAGGATCCCGGTGCTGCGGCTGCTCTCTTCGTGCCCCAGCCTCACCCCCCCCCCCAGCCTGGTGCCTTCAGATGTGTTGGACCGTGACTTCTCTCCCCGCTGGCCAAGACTTGCAGTCTAATGCATTTGGAGAGCGCCAGGTTGGAGAAGGCTGCTGGAGGCATCTCTAATCCTCCCACAATTCCCTGCACTTCCACTCACTCCCCCCAGCCCTGCTCTCAATAGCTACCAGATGTTGGTCCTGGGCGTCTTCTAATGAGTCTGGCAAAAAGCTGCGCTCAGGATCTTGCAGCTCTCGGCTGCCTGCCTGTCTCTGGGAAGGGCCGGGCTCCTTGTGGGAATTGCGGTGGTGCCCGGAGATATTTAACTTGGCAGGAAGCAAGCGGGGTGCCTCGAGACTAATGCCGTCTCGCACTCCGGATGGAGCAAGCGTGGCTGGTCCAGCATGCGGGGGAGGGGCGGGGGGCAGACATGCCCTGCGCCGGAAGGTGGCTAAGAGCTCAGCGCACAAACGTGTGGCTCCGTGGACACCACGTCAGGCCTGCCAGGCATTTCAGGCCAGCCACACGTCCGGTCGGTGCATGTGCTCCTTCCCCGGGGGAGAGGCATAGGCAGGCACCGAGGGCAGCCCTCGTCCAATGTGCAAGATGGAGGAGGGCTGATCTGGAGCTTCAGTGGCTTGCCCGGCTGGGGGCTGCTGGCGATGGCACGCACCTCCTGTGGCTGCGCTGGGTTCGGACAGCACTGTAACCTGGAGCCCGGGGTCCAGTATGGGTTTGCAGAATCGCAGGTGATCGTCTGGTCTGAGCCCAGCCATTCCAGCAAACTGGCTTGCTAACCACAAACACGAAGAGGCCTCGTGCCTTGCTGCTGGGCTGCGTTTTTCGTGGTGAGCAAACTATGCTTCGTTAGTGCAGCTGAGTTCGGAAAGCATGACAGCCCATGCTTCAGCAGCCATCCATGGCTCAGTCGGGAGTGTGGATTACCGTGTTCGCCGGAATCTAGTCACCAGGGCAATGTGGAGTATAATGGCCAATGAGGAGAGCGACGTCTGTGAGGCTCTTGCAGCCAGCAGCAAAACGGTCCAGGCACAGAACTCCCAACACTGGCCCTTGCTGCGGGGGCACGGATGCAGTTGATGCTCTGGCTTGGGGGTACTGCTCCCCTCAACAGACCTCGAATCTGTATTTATAAACGAACAGATATGACAAAAACCCTTGTGAATTACCCACTCCTTTCATGGAAAGGAGCAAAAAAATGCTCTTAGAAGACCACTGAATTGGGGGTGGGGGTGTAGAAGCCTTTTAGCAGCCTTCCCCAACCTGGGGCTGCACCATTGCCCATGCTGGCTGGGAATGATGGGAACTGCAGCCCAACCCATCTGGGCAGGTTGGGGAAGCCCGCTTTGTAGGATCCGGCCCATGCTGAAAGCAAGTGATCTTTGTGGGATCTTCAGGGCTCATTAAATTTAAGGCATATTCAAATACACACAGAGAGACATGTGAACAAAGAGGAAACTGTTTCTGCTGCTCTTTCTTTCAGGAAGATAATCATGGAGGAAGCTGGAGCTTGCCTTTGGGTAAAGGTCTTGGGTTACACAGAGGGCTGGTGAAGCACGTGGGCCCTTCTGCTTTGGAAAAGCAAGTCTGGTGGCTGAGTCGTTATTTTCAGCAAACCCCGTCAGAACTCAGAGTTCCTGAGGAAAATGGAGTAAGGTTAGCAGAGGAAATGGGCATCGCGTGTGGGGGAGGACCAGCGAAAGTGGGGGTGGGGGGAGCGGAGTTTAGCACAGGGGCCAGACCCGAATCGGCCTGTGGCGAGGTGGGCAAAATGCATGGCGGGCTCCACGTTCGGGGCTCGCGCTCCGCGTCACTGGCATGTTCTGAACCGGGAAGCGAGCGACACCTGGCTGAGTGCGCCCCGTGCCCCGTGCCCCTCCCTGGTGAGGTCACGCGTGTGGGCCATGGGTGGGCAGCCATCTTTGGGGGAAGGGGCCGGTCTCGTCCTTGGACTGGCACGGTTGCCCTGGCTCGCTCACAGAATAGTGGCTGGGCTGTCTTTCACCCGTGAGCCCATTTTTCTTGTCACTGGTCAGCCGTGTCCCCACAACATCGCCACCACTTTCCTACTGGAAGCGGCTAGAGGGCGAAGACTGTCTTCTGTGGATGGGGGGCAGCCTCAGGTCCCTGGGTCAAATTTAATTTGCCTGGGGGTCCAGCCTGGCCTTTGGGGTCCCACCCTTTTTACTTTTGGATCCGTTGCCACAGGAATGGGGCCCCCGGAGCTTCTCCGGCAGGGCATCTGGCGCACCGGCTCAAGCAGGCTTCAGCCTCAGTGAAACGGGGAACTCGGTTCTGCACACGTGAACAAGCGTCGGGGGCTTGCGTGGGGCTCTCTTGCTTCTGCAGCCCCGTAGCCCACCTCCCTTCGCCAGGTGCCCTCCAGCAAAGTTGGGCTGCAGCCCCGTCATCCCCAGCCAGCATGGCCAGTGTCTGGGACGACGGGGGAGCAGCCCAGCACCTCTCGGGGGTGCGGGTGGGCAGCTGTGGCAGCAGAACCGCCTGGGCGGCCAGCCGCTCAGCCCTGCTCCCGCCGCGGAGGAGAGGCCGAGCCGTCAGCTGAGGCGCTCGCAGGGGCCCCGACGAGCTCCAGATGCGCCTGGAGTGATGACATCGGCCGTGATTTGTGCTTCCTCGCACAGACTAAACAGGCCAAAAGGCAAAGGGGAGAGGGCGGGGAGGGAACAGCAACCGACTGGGGGGCCAACGGCCCTCTGCCGTCTGCTCCTGGCACAGCCCTTCACTGTCCCCGCTGAAACTGGGCTGCCCCGGAACAGTGCGCCTTGTGCCCTGTTTCCCCGGGAAGGCCCCCTCCCCTCAGCCGCCATCAACAGGCTGCAGTGGAGGGAGAAGAGAGCAGAGGGGCCCTGGAGCGGCCCTGCGGAAGGCCCCTTCCCCATCTGCCTCGCGTCACTTCGACACACGGGGGGGGGGCGGGGGCAGGGACCGTCTCCTTGAGCTGAGGGCTTGCCAGCCATTCTGGGAGTCTCTGAGCTGAGAGGCAGCGGACCGGTCCTCTCGAGAAGCAAAGGCGACACCACAAAGACTGCCGAAGCCGCTCGACACGCTCTCTTCCCTTCAACACGGTGTCCGCTGAGCGAGGGCCCTTCCGGAGACTGGGTGCTCTGAAAGGTGGCAGGCTTGGATGTTGTCCCAGCCTGGCTTGGGGAACACAGTCCAGGGCCACGGCCCCCACAGCATGGCCATGGGGCTCTCCGGGGGCGGAGCAGTTCCTGTTCACTTCATGGCCACGAGAACTGTGCCCCGCATCAAGGGAAAGAGGGTCTGTGTGTGTGCAGCCCCCACTCCCCTGCCTTGCCCCTCAGAACCCTCCTTTCTGTGAAAAGGCCCCATCCTTCAGCCCTGCAGAAACTCACCCAGTGTTTCACTGGCCTGCCTTCCCCCGTCAAAATTAAGATTGCAATTTCCTCAGGGCAGAGACCTGTCCATGTGCCTTACTCTGCAAAGCATGGGTGCTGGGGGGCGGGGGTGGGGGCAGGACCGATCAGTTCTTGCTTGCAGCAGCTTGTGGGGCTTTGAAACAGCTCATTAACAAAGGATCCTCTGGTCCAACAAGTACGCCTGGCCCTGCACAGATGAATCTGGTCTCTCAGCCTCCCCGTCCAACCGGAGACCCGACAGATGGTCTTCAGCAGAGCCTTTGCGCCCTTCCCGGTTAAGCACGTGAGCACGCGGTGCCTGGTTCTGGGGCAGCAGCAGGCAACTGGCTCCGCTGCCCCACGCTTTCATGCCTGGGGTTCTGCCAGACCCCAAGCCGGCCAGCCAGCCACTGACCACCCTAACGCACCCCTTACCCACCCAAGCCTGCAGGTGGCGCTGCGGAAGGGGCGCCGCCTCCTCTGTTCCTTGTGTGGAAAGCACGTTCTCCGTCTCGTGGCATTCCCCCCGACAGGCAGTACAGGAAAACCGGCGTGGGGCGGGAGGACTACATAGCCCACCGTTCCTTCAGGTAACGGGCAACTTTCCTGGAGGAGCTGGCTGAAGGCTGGGCTGGCTCCTGGTGTGTGGGGCCCGCAAAGCCCTCCCTGCTGGGCCCCTTGCGCCCAGGGCTCGCCAGCAGTGGCGGCAGGCAGTGGGGAGGCGCTCTTCCAAATTTCCCCCAGGCCCCGCTACAGCACTGGCCATATTCCTGGGGGTCCACGGCCGCTAGTCCGAATGGCAGCCTGCTGGGGTGCCCCAATTCCCGGGGAACATGGGCATGAGGATGCCACTGCGTGCCCGGCCCACTGCCTGGACTCCCGTCTGCGCAGAGGCTTGGCCAATGCATGAGGTCTGGCAGGGCCCTCCTGTTCTGCAGAGGACCGGGGGAATCTGCAAGGGAGCCGCCCGGCCAGCTGCACCGGGCTGGTCAGCGGCCTGCGGTCAGCTGGCCCGGTCTGGTCCTTGTGCGGGTGGTTTCGTTCCCAGTGCCTGGGGGCGGGGCTGCTGGCCAAGAGAGCAGCTGCCAAGGGGGCCTTGGCAGCAGGCGCAGAGACCTCCCGCAATCGGAGGGGCGCACATTTGCGCCTGACTGAGGAAGCTTTCCGTGGGGAAGCTCGGCTGGCATGCCAGACTGCCCTTAGCACGGCCAGGCAGCGGCCTCCGCAGCACCGAGGCAGGCCTCTTGAAGCGGCTCAAGGCAGCCCAGCTGCTTGGACGGACAATGCCCGGCCTCTGCCCTGCGGAGGGGCTCCGGCCCAGGCCGTCCTGCCAGGTGGGGCTGCTGGGTGAGGCCCCGGGCATGTCTCTCCAGGCGCTGCGGAGGCTCGGAACCGTGTGCCAGCAACACAGCGTGGCTGCCACGGCTGCAGATATCCACCACTCAAGACATTTCTAGGGAGAGAAGCGTGGCATATGCAACTATAATATGGGTACAAATATGGCCCAACCCATCCTGCCAATCCCTCCCCTTCCCCCCCCCCCAGGCGCCAGCGCTTGGTCCACAAGATCCCCTCTGCCCCTCTGCAAGGGGGCTTGAAACTGGAAGTGCTTCGGGTCCTCTGTTGGTGGGGAAGGGTTCTGTCAAGGCCCACGCCTCAGTGTGGGGAGCGCAGCCGGGTCTTCTCCGGAGCCTTGCTTCGCACAGATGGATCCTCCCTCGCTTGCCCGCCCTCCCCAGCCCCACGGGACCGTCTCCTCTCGGCAGGACCCTTCCCCACTGCCCCCGCCTCACGGCACAGTCTGAGTGGGCGTCGTGGCGGCCTTGGGCTGGTCCGCGGTGGCCTCCCTCGTCTTCTTCCTGGGCGGCTTTTTGATGGGAGTCTTCTTGACCACTTGCTCGCTGGGCGCGGGGGCCAGCTCGGGGCTCCCGGTGGAGCTCTGCTTCTCTGGCCTCTTGGGGTCACCAGTGGCGGCCTCCGCAATGGGGCTGATGAGTTTCTGCAGGTTGGGGGACGTGGGCAGCACTGGCTTGCTGGACTTCTGGCCGCTGGTTGCCACGGAGCGCCTGGCCTTCTGTGGGGGCGTTGGCCGCTCCCTCTGGGCGGGCAGGGGGCTCACCCCGTTCTGCCTCACCCCCCCGTCCCCCCTGTTCAGGCTCTGAGTCTTTTCCTTCAGCTGCGCGGCCAGTAGGGTGGCCGCCTCCAAGGACAGGTGCGGGTGGACCACCTCGGAGCGGGGCTTGCCGTGGCCGGGGCCCTTGGGCTCCTCCCCGGCCTTCCGCTCCGGGGGGCAGCTCCCCATCTTCTTGATTGCGTTCTGGACGGCCCCGTTGATGTTCTCCATGTGCTCCGAGCCAGCCTTGTGCCTCTGCTTGGGCTTGGACGGTGATGGCTGCTCCCCCGCGGCTGCGGGTGCCCGGCCCTCCGAGGGAACGGCATCCTTGGGCTGCTTCGGGGCCTTCTCCTTGCCCCTCGGGGGCGCCTTGTCATCGGCGCGGCTGTGAGCCCCGCTGGACGTCTCGCTGGGGCTCCTCTTGCGCTTGGCCAGCCCGTGCTTGTGCTCTGAGAGGTCGGCTGCGGCGATGGCAGGCAAGGAGTTGGACTGGTTGGAGTTGTATTTGCTGTGGATCCAGGAGATCTTGGGCTTCGTGGAGGGGTCTGGGGGCGGCGGCTTGGCCCTCTCGGGGGAGGGGGGCTTGGCGTTCTTGCCTTCCGTGGCGCTTTCGTCGTCGTCTCGGGACTGCTTGGAGAGGCGGGCGATCCGGGCGTAGAGAGCCCCGCTGACGGAGCCTGAGCCGCACGAGGAGCGCTCACTGTCGGAGGACTTGAGCAGAGGCGCCTCGCTGCAGTCCGCCTGGGTGGAGCTGCTCTCCTTCAGGACCGTGTATTCTCCGGCCTCCTCCTCGCTGATGGGCAGCGCCACCTTCTCTCCTGGGCTGCACAGGGCAGAGATGCGGTCCTTGCTGTCGCCGGCGCTTTCTGTGGGGGAAGCAGACAGACCTGCTAGCTGCAAGCACCGGGGCGCCTGCCAGACTCCACGGCACAGAGCCCCGAAGCAGGAAGTGGGGACAAGCAGAGGAAGATTCGGTGGCGGGAGCAGAGCCCCTGCCGGCCGTGGGGGTGGGAGCAGGCCCCCTCTCCGCTTGATCCCACTGGCAGAGGCGCCGGAGGGTTGCGATCTTTCACCAGAAGCGCAACAGGGCAGCTCTGAGGAAAGATGCCTCCTCCTCGGTCGGCTTGCAATTTTGTAAAATCCGTGATCCATAGGGATCCCGAAACTTTGCCCCACCAGTACTAATGCTCAGCATTTAGTAACCTGCACAACAACCCTCTAAGGTAGGCGAGCCGTATGACTGGCACATGCAGTAGGGCTGAGGCGGCAGGGCAGGGGCTAGCTTGCCCGAGGCCAGCCGCTGTGTGGGGCTGAGAGCGCCACAGAACGCAGCACTGGGTGCATCATGTGCTCTTCCGGCAATCTCGGCTTCCATGATGAGAGCTTGAAAACATGTGAGTGGCGCCTGCTGAAACCTTAGAGCGGGGGTGGGCAATTAATTTTCCTGTGGGGCCACATGAGAAACTGACAGTTGTTAAGGGCCGGACCAAGCCGTTGTGTTGCTTGCATCTATATTACGACGATATATATTTGCATTGACTTTTAACTGGCCAGTGACCTCATGCGGGCCAGTCAGGGTCAGCCATCGGGCCGGATGTGGCCCGCGGGCCGTACGATGCCCAGGTCTGCCTCAGAGGATGCTCCGCTTGCTGCTCCGAGGGACTGCAGGAGGGGCTTCCTTGCTGAGGAGAAACAGGCCCTTCTGAAATCGCATGCACGGCTGAACAGCATGTGCAGAGTAAGGGCGCTGGGCCGGATCTGCATGACGCACACGGGGCACAGCAATTTGCCTGCACTGGCATTAAAGAGAACCATTAGCATTGCCTGTTCTTCAGTCACAGCTATCACAACAGCTGTAGAGGAGCTTGCAACATACAATGGACTCTGCAAAAGACAAATCAGATCACGGGGCTTACAGAGATGCTCCGCCATGTCCCTACAGAGCTGTGAGCCGGGATCCCTGGCATATCAGAGAGCAGCTGCATGCCGGGTCGTGACCCGGGCGGGGATCCTTGTTTGGTTCTCAAGTAGCCTATAAACCACGGGCCCTCCCTGGTCTCTGATCTGGCTTGTAAGTGGCTCAATAAGGCAAGATCCCGGATTCCGGAGGGTTTGGTTCTGGTTTGTTTAGCCACCTGTGCTTGCACGAGGAGCCAAGAGTGTGCCTAGCACACAGACCATTCATAGGAATCCTGCCCTACCATTCCATGGAAAAACGGCCAGCTTATGAGTTCCTTTTCTTTCTTTTTGCATGAAAATTCTTGCATATTTCTGTGCGTATTTCTCCAAACGTGTGTATAAAATAGGCACACCTTTTATTTTTTATTGCAAATCTTTGAAATAGATGTGTACTTCTCCCTTTGATTAAAGCATGTTTACATGCATTTTCCAAAAGTGCACATTTTTCATAACTTCACATATTGCTGAGCACATTCTGAGTCCTAAAAGCGCACTGCAGCCTGGGAGACATGGACTGTACCTGCAGGTTGCATTCAGTTCAAGTCCGTGCTTGTTGCAAATACTAACCAAAGCCGAGTGGGACTGAATTTCTGGTATGGCCACTAGATTCAGTATGCAGTCCTAGAATGGCGAAACCCGTGAGGACCTAGGTCAACAACTGGTTTTCCCTGGGGGCTTTTGCGGGGGGAGGCCACCTGCCTCCGAAGCCCAGCCAGAGCGCTCAAGCTTCATGCATCTCCTGTGGCTCCAGCTTTGCAGGCAGCACTTCTGGGGTGCCAGGTACAGCCAGCGTGGTTTTTGTGCTGAATACAAACAGGAGGCGGGGTGTGGGGGGGCGGGGTTGTTTGCTTCTTTTTTCACTTGTGGAGATAATACTGGGATTACAGGAGTTAACTTCCAGTGGTGGGAAACTTACTGCATCATAATCATGATTTTTTGTTTTAAAATTATGCATGCGAGGCCTTGGAATTCTTTAGTCATTACAGGGCTATTTTGCGAAAGCCTGTTATTTGCTACAGGAGGGTTGTGGTGAAGCTGGGTTCGCACCAAATTCCTTTGCTCTGTAATGACTGCCAAAATTATAGAAGAGGAGAAATAAGGAGCTGAACTGCTGCGACAGCCATTTACCACCTGGCTGCAGTTAGCCTGCGAAACGGGAACGCTGGCTTCCAGCACCGCAGCCATGGATGCTCGGCAGTCTAACCCCGTGCACCCCGGCATTCCTTTCTGTAAGCATTCTAGTCCTTAGTGTTGCAAAGAAAAGCCTACGAATGACATCAGCTTCTGCTAAGCGGGAGATCTTCGGCAGTCAACAGGAAAGGCCTTTTTCACGCTGCCTGGTCCCCGAGCAGCAGTGCCCTGCAGGGCCCGAATGAAGAGTCTCTAAAGAGTTTTGCCCTAAAACTTTGTCCTCGTCGACAGCAGGCTGGACACGGGTCAGCCGTATGACGCAGCGGTCGAGAAGGCAGGTGCCACCCTTGGGTGCACAGCCGGATGTGTGGCGTCCAGATCCAAGGGGGCGTTGACACCGCTTCACATGACTGGTGCGCCCACAGCTGGAGTCCTGTGTCCAGTTCTGGGCTCCATGTTATAGGAGAGATGTGTGCATGTTAGAATCAGTTCAGTGCAGGGCCACAAGCATGGCAGCCTGGTTGGGAGGGATGCTGTATGAGGCGAGGCTGAGGGAACGGGGTTGTTTCAGCCTGGAGAGGAGAAGACTCCGAGGCGGACGTTGAGCGACTTACAGGCGTGTGAGGGGGTATCATGTGGAAGAGGGTCGTGACCTGCTCTTCCCTGCAGTGGAGGGCAGGGCGTGTTCCAGTGGGGCAAAGCTCAAGGGGCCAGGCTTCAGGTTGGATGCCAGGAAGTGCTTCCTGACGGATAGGACCCCTTGCATATGAAATGGGCTTCCACGGGAGGTGGCGGGGGCCCCATCAGTGAGGGTGTCCAAGGAAAGACTGGGCAACCACATGTGGGGGATTACATGAATGGAACCGGGTGGAGCTGGGGGTCAGGCTAGATGGCCCAGGAGGACCCTTCTGACTCGCTCTGTTTCTGACTCCCATCGTCCTTCGCCACAGGCTGCGTTAGCTAGGACTGATGGGTGTTGCACATCCAACATCTGGATGATCACGTATTGCCCTAACCCTAACCCTCAGAACAAGCCCCGGTCTAGCTAGTCTGCCTGTTGCCATATAAAAATGGTCTTGGTGGAGCAGACAAAGAGGGCACCGTCTCCTCCAGCGGTGGGGCCCCCTCGCACCCCAGCCACTGTGGGACTCTTGCCTCTGGCAGATCTGCCAAGCCAGCAGGGCTGGGCACTGATCGTCCTGAGGGCCAGGAGGGCTCCATCCCTGCTCTGGCCCAAGCAGCCACTTCTGCCCCTGCTGCTGCCAACAGGCCAGGGGCGGGAGGGTGACTGTCGCAGAGCTGGATCAGTCCAAGGTGCAGCGTCCCAGGCCCGCCCTCCCAGGCCCGCCGGCTCCATGGAGCCATTGTGGCGAACGTCCAAAGGCTTGGCCCCGGCAAACAGGCGGCTGACCGGAGGGTCCAGTGCAGGCAGCCCCAGCCTGGTGCCCCGCAGACATGAAGGCCTGGCCTGCAGCTTCTGCCACCCGGAGTTGCCGCCAAACGTGTCTGGAAGGGCCCGGCTGGGGAAGGCTGTGCTGATCACAGTGCATTGAAAGCCAGAAGCCAAAACAATACACAGGCAGAAGTCTCTCGATTTCAAAAAACCAAAATTTGTTGGGTGACTCAGATGAACGTTGGCTGCAAAATAAAAATACAGGTGGCGGGGGGGCGGGGGGGCGGGTTGTGATCTCCCTGACCGGGCAGGTTTTCCTGGCACCAGCCAGTTTTACATCAGCAAGTTGCAGAGAGGGGGCCACGGAAGTGGCGGTGGGAGCAAGGGTGGCGGTTCGCTCCTGGCAGGTCGCCGTGGCGGGGCCAAGAAAGGCCCCCAGGCGTGGCCGCGCTGTCACGGGCAAGAGATGCCTGCAGAACGGACATTTCACCCTGGACACCCGCTGCCACCCGGAGCCCCCTCAGCCTGCTGGTCTGCGGCCTGGCTCGGGACTAGTGGGAGAAGTGGGGGCGGTTTCCCTCAGTCCGAAGCAAGGAAGCCCCTCTCTGCTCTGACCGGTGTCTGCAGGGAGGAGGAACGCAAAGGCATTCCCAGGACTCGGACGTGGGCAGAGCTGCTCGGTGGGAAAGTGTCTGCATCGCCGCTGCGCTGCACCTGTGCGTGCGTGTGGCCCCAGCCCCGCAGCACACCCAGGCGAGGCCTCGTGTGCCCCAGCCGGGTGGGGGAAATCACAGGCAGAGTGGGCTAGGGGAGCGCCCCGCCACGGCTGTGGCGGCCACTCTCTGGAGCTGGCACATGTGAAACGTGGCCTGCAGACAGGGGGCCACAGGGCCCGATACTGGGGGTTGCTTGTTTCGGAGGCCCCCATTAACATTAACTGGGGGGGCTGTGCATGTGAAGGCCCCTCCCGCTGTGCCCTCTTCAGCACCAGGCCACCGATTCGCCTCGAGGGCTGCAGGCGGCATGGAGGCGGGGATGATTGGAGGGACGGAATCGCAGGGTTGTCCCCACCCCCTGTTCAGCCCCCCGGGACCTGGGTGGGAGGAGCCCTCCCCGGGAGCCATACGGGTGCGACATGATGGGGGGGGGTGCTGACGGGTGTCAGCGGATGTGCCTTCTTTTGGGTAGGGGGCACGCCCTGCTCAAATGACCCCTGCCCAGTTCTGCTCAGGCTTCTGCTCCGCACAAAGATCTGCCCAGCCTGGCCTTCTCCAGAACAGGATCTATTCGCCCGCAAGACAGAGGGGATACGGAAAGCCACGTGCATCAAGCGACGGCGCAGGATGGCGGGGCCCAAGAGCCGGGCTGGCTTGGGACCAGTCCGCCACCTTGCTTCCCCCAGCGCAGGAAAGCGTTTTAAAACAACCGCCATTTCCCCTGCAGGCAGCAGCATCAGTCTGCCCTCCAATACCGCCTGAGGCCCATATTTCAAAACTACAATTCCCAGCACTCTTTGGTGAAGAACACCATGGAGGGCATTTAAGGAAGGGCATTTTTGGAAGTGGCTTACCGTGCTCCTCAGATCTTTAGTGCAATTTTGGCATTGGGCTAAGCCTGTTCTTTATTTCATTTACCAACTGATGATAATTCTCTGTATGATCACGTCAGCTGAGAGGGCGGGGGCATGCGTGGAGGCTCCCTGTGTACTATCCTAACTACCTGCACTCTGGCGGCCCTGAGATACAGACAACCTGGCAGTGGCAGGAACCACACGGCAGTGGAGCTGCAAAAAATATAAAATTTTAATTACAAAAAATAACACAGGTTTTAAAAAAAGAGAAATTCACTGAATATTCACTAAGTCCTGCAACCCGAGTCCATATTTACAAACTATATGCAGAGACATATTTGTAGAGATGGACTTGCATTGTAGGACCTAGCGGATATTCAGTGAGTTTCTCTTTTTTTAAAACCTGTGTTATATTGTTTGATAAGAAGTCATAATTTTTAGCAGATTCAGAAGTTGCTCCCCTCCATCTCTCCTCCTCAATTTTGCTCATGAAAAATAAATTGTAATGCAAATTTTGATGCAGGATGCCACACGTCATGTATTTCTATGGGTGTGCATTGATGTGAGTGCAGATTTATTAGTGTCATTTGGTTGCTATTGGAGATGGTGGTTAAAACAGGTGGTGTGGAGGCGACAGATCGTTTCATTGCCACCTGACCATTGCTTTCCAAACAGCGATCCCCTGTGGATCACACTACCACCTACGTCAATGAGCTCTGTGCTCATGATGAGCTTATGATTGTTCTCTGCAGAAATGGTCCTAATCGTATCAGTTTTATACTCATTGTGTTGCTGTGGACACACTTCTGGGGTGTCAGTACTGGTATCTTGTTTTTGTAGCACTGTATTTATTGGTATTTTAGTAATAGCAATTTTGCATCCCTAGGAAACCATTATGTCAAGAAAAATGGACTCCGAGTGCAGGATATTCAAAGAACAGTGGACTTACAATTACTTTTTCATGCAGTACAAGGAAAGAGCTGTTTGTCTGATATGCCAGAATTTAGTGAATTGTGACTCTCTGAAAGATGCATTCAAGTTAAGCAGCCTTACTAATTTCTATGCATCTCTCTCCCCTGAGACGTATCTTAATCTCAGGAACCAGGCTCTCAAAATGGCAACCCTCTTTGGCAGCACCTGTGCCTGTGAACAGCCTTTTCCCCACATGAAACCTCTGACATCTCCGGCCAGACCCAGACTCACCCATGCACGCTCGCATCCCTTGCTGCGACTGGCAGTGACAAATGCAGAGCCGGACACGGGCCATCGCAGTGGCCAGAGCAGGCCCATCCTTCCCATTGAAATACTAATACGTTTATGTTGATTAAAACCGTCCTTCATTTTAAATATTGTATTGTTTTTCCTGTTTTTGCACTACAAATAAGATATGTGCAGTGTGCATAGGAATTCGTTCATATTTTTTTCAAACTATAGTCCAGTCCCCCAACAGTCTGAGGGACAGTGAACTGGCCCTGTTTAAAAAGTCTGAGGATCCCTGTTCTAGAGGGATCTCATGTCCCCCCTCAGTCTTCCCTTCGCAAGGCTGAACACGCCCAGTTCTCCCAGTCTCTCCTCCAGGGCAGTGTTTCCAAACCCCGGATCGTTTTTGTGGCCCTCCGCTGGACCCTTTCTAGTTTTCCTGCATCTTCCTTATATCTTGGCGCCCAGCACTAGACACTGTTACTGCTGCAGTCGTCTTCTCCATCTATGCTGGACTGCAGCCGTTTTACAGTACACTTTGTTTTAATGTTCTGCATGGCTGTCACACAGAGCAGGGGTCCCCAGCCAGGCTGCACAGCAGGAGCCCAGCAGCAGGCAAAACTTTTATCTGCATTTGTGGCCACTTCACAGTTTGGGAGCGGCTGCAAATACGGATTATCATCGGGGCCCTTCTGGGGCTTGGGCCTCAAGAGGAGGAGGAAGTGGCGGCAGCGGCAGCGGCAGAGCCGGGTGGCAAGTGGCGCGGCGAAGCCAGAGAGGGTGCGCGAGTGGCAAGGGAGCCGGGAAGCAGGACAGGGCTGGGCGGCAGGTCAGGGGGGGCTCCCGCTGATTCTGCATGATGGCAACTTGTATAATTATTTCATTATCACAATTATCACAATGCAATGATAATAGAAATAAAGAGCACAATACAAGCAATGCGCTTGAAGCACCCTGAAACCACCCCCCGCCCGTGGAAAAGTGGTCTTCCGCAAAACCGGCCCGTTGCCAAAAAGGCCGGATGCCACTGACACGCCGCGTGGCACCTGCTGATGTGGCCACAGGGAATGCAGGCACCGCCTTGCCCTGCAGGGCGGTCGCCCCGGGCGCTGGGGAGCCCTGGCTGCCGTCCAGACCCCCGCGGCCCCACTGACCTTCGTGCGGCACGCAGTAAACGGGCCCCTCATCTGTGGTGTCGAAGGACGAGAAGGACCCGCGGGAGGACCAAGATGGGGACGGCTGCTCCACCACGGATGGCGGCTCGAGGAAGCTGCAGTTCATGGTGTTCTCCAGGTCGTGGTGGGCCACTGGAAGACACAAGGCGGGGGGCCGGCCGTCAGTCCATGCTGGCTGTGCCCACCCGTGGGCTCGGGGCAGGACCCCTGTGGCTGCAGGGCTCTTGGCCTCACAGCCTGCTCCTGGGGCTCCTGGGGAACGGGGCTGGGCTGGAAATTGGCCCCATGCAGGAGAGCTGGGCTTTGCGCTCAGGGCTGCTCTGCCCCCGAGTGACGCGAACGGCACGCTGACACACCTGGGGGTGCTTGCTCAGGCCAGGCTGCCTCAGGGCAGGGCAGAGGTGGACTACTTGCGTGAGAGGGACTGTGGCGCCAGGGAAATCGGAACGCCTCTTTGGGAGGATTTGCCTCCTTCCCCCCCAAAGCCACTTCAGTGAATTGACTGGGTCCAGACAGCACAATAATCCGCTCAAGCTCGGGCATGGGTTGAGTGTGGGTTGTTGAACTGTGGATTACCCTGTTGTCTGAACCCAGCGGTGATAACAAACCCTGATGAACAACTCGCCATGGCTTGTTCGTGTAGCTGGGCCAAGATAACAGTAACCCACAGTTCAACGGCAACACATACTCAATGGCTGAAACTGGGTTTTTGTGTTGTCTGAACCCAGCCTACAGGTTCTGCAAGGAAGGTATTTTCCCCTTTCTCTTTTTAGCTGCAACTGCCATAGAACCAGAGCTGGAAGGAATCTGGAAGGCCCCCCACCTCCCCCGGACACAGCTATAGTATCCCTAATAGATGCTTGGGCATTCCAAGTGACCTGCCTCCAACGAGGAGCTCATCTCTTCTAAGGTATTTTTTTCCTGCTGTCAAAGCTGCTCTCCATCAGGATGTTGTTCCTAACATGCAGGCCAATTGTCCTTTCTCACAATTACCAGCCCATGACATTTAATAGGCACAACCCAAGGAAAGACACAAAAACTCCCTCCCTCGCTCACCTGGAGATGATTGTTATGCAGCACAGGTGAGCACCTATCTGGGAATCTCGGCAGCCACAGGGCAGGCAGCAGTTCTTAAGAGCATGCAAAGAGGTGCAGGTGATGCTCCGACCTGTGGGGGCCTCTGACCAAACCAGCGGTTGGAGCAAGCGGCAAATCCATGCACGGGGAGAGGCGGCCCACGCGCACTGCCAAGGACAACCTCTCCTTTGACCTGCCTTCAGCTCCCTGGGAAAAGCCAAGCAAACTACTGTGGCCTCCGATGAAGCTGGACCTCACATGCCTGGGGAGAGGCATCCTGCTAAGCCAGGCACTGGAGGTGGAGTAAGCGGTGCCCTTACATGAACCCCATCTTTCCCATGGCCATGCCCGCAATCCCTCTCCTCCCCATTTCTCCCGTGTAACAACCACCCTGTGAGGTGGGGAGAGGCTGGGAGTCGGGGCCTGGCCCAGAGTTACCCAGGGAGCTCTGCGAGCTGAGTGGAGAACGGGACTGGAGTGCCCAGGCGGTCCGACAAGCCCGTCTCTGCGCCACGCTGGCCCCATTTTCAAAGGCCAGCTTGGCTCCGTGAGGATCCCCAGCCATGTTCGTTGGGCCCCGGCCGTCCTCCCAACACTCATCACACACTGAACTCAGACCGATGAGAAAGACCTCACGAGCGCCAGAAAGGAAGAGCACACAAAGGACTTCTAAAAAGAGTTCATTTCTTCTGTCAGCAGAGGGTGCCCAGTCCCCTTCTGGCTGAAGAGCTTCTCACGAGGTTTGCATCGCCTCTTGAGTTCTCCTTCCCGATGGCCAGGCCACCCACGTGTGCAAACGCCCAAAGAAAAGGCAAAGGCCGGGGAAGCAGCTGGAGGGTCAAGAAACGGGGCTGGGGCAGAGGAGAGGTGAGGCAGAGGGGCCGAGCAAGAGGCGACTCACGAATGAACGAGGCAGACCGGGGCGCCGGGGGGCTGATGGTGCAATGGGGTGGCTGGAGTGGGGGGAACTGGGTGCCCCTCCCCACCTGGCCCCAAAGCTCCCCATGTATGACCTTGGCCCCATCTCCATCTCCATCTCCCAGGGTTGCCGTGAGGATAAGCAGGGGCGGGCTCCCTCCACTTCCTGGGTAAACGGCAGGATGCAACTCCCAGCAGAGGGCAAGACGGGATGGGAATCCACCCGCTGAGGCAGAACAAAAAGCACCATACGCTCAAACAGTGTACTATGCATCTGTTTCCAGACACAATACCGAAGAAGTGAAAATTCTCCAAAACAACCAGGAACAGCAACGAAATGCCAACAAAAGAACAACATACCCAAATTGGTGCAGCATGGCTCCCACCAAGCCTTCTCTCTCTTCCCTGGTGCCCTGGAAACACCGGCAGCCCCCCCCCCCCCCCCGAGTGCAATGCCAACCAAGGAAGAGGGGGTGCAGCACAGCCAGCCCCCGCACCGGCCTGTGGTGAGCAGGAGGCACCCCCCCGCGGGCCGGCATGAAATCCCCCGCGGACTCCTGCTGAAGCCCATGGCTCCGGAGGGCTTCTTCTGGCCGGCCATCAAGAGGAAGCACGCGGCGCGGGGGGACAGAGCCTGTGCGGCTCGCTCAGTCCGCTCCGGGTGCGCAGGGCTTCCGAGCAGCCTTGCAAGGGAGCGCCGGCAATCGGGGGACGTCGCCGGGGCAAGCACATTCAGTGACGCGCTTTGTGCCCACTGCTTAACGGAGGGTCCTTCAGTGCACTGTTACGCACGAATAATTCATCTGCTAGAAATGGCTTTCTGTGTCTTTCTGTGTCAGGCGGGCAGTTCGTGGACCTCCAGAGGCTGTCAGCCTGTGATTTCTCTCAGCACGGCTACCATGCAAGTATCGCGCGCCTCTCCCTTGAAAATCAGGGTAATTCGATCATGTGCAGAGTGCCAACCATGGACCTGCACATACCTCTTAATTTTTGGAAGCCCACTCCACTTCTTGTATAATATAGGGGAATGACTACAAAGTCCCTGACCAAGCCCCACAATTCCTCTCCTCCCAATGGGGCAGAGCAAACAGGGCCACCCCCTCCCTCCGTCCGCTTCTGATCGGGAGAGTGAGGTGGGCAGGAGGGGCGGAAGCTGCTGCCAGCGCGGCTGCTGCGATGCCGCTCAGGGCGCAAAATGTCGAGACCGCCCCGCATCTCCCCGCATGCAGCTCCGCTGTGCCGGGGTGCCCAGCCAGGGGACTGACCCCGCTGCCCTGGGCCTGGGCCTGCGAGGACCCCAGGACAGGAGGCTTCTGTGCGGAGGAGGCCAGGGGCGCTGCACCTCCTGGAGTGCCCTGCTCGCAGGCCATCTGGTTCGGGGTGACTTGCTGCCAAATAAATCATGCCAAGAGCGGCTGTGAGAAAACCGGGCCGCTTCCTGCAGGCCTCTGCTGCCGGCGTGTTTGCCTCTGCCGCTCCGCACTCTCAATGGCCTGCCTTGTGGAGCAGCTCCTTTCAGAGGAAGCCACTGGGCCCCTCCCTGACACGAAAAAAGGGGGCCAGCAGAAAGCGCGGGGGGAGGGAGAAGAGCCATGGTCTTGCTCAACCCTTAGCCGCCCTTGCGGGGCATCCACCTCTGGGACCATCAAAGCAGGAGGGTGGGAGCACTGAGGCTCACTCGGGGGGGGGGGGTTGGAGGACGGGGGTCCAGGGTGGGAAAGGCACCTAAGGCTGCTTGCCTCCCACTAATCAGCGAGAAGCAGGAGAGGGGCCTGTGGGACCTCCTCTGCTTTCAGGGGAGACTGCAGGAGCGGCTGCCGCGTCCAGGGCAGGGGCTGGCGGAGCCTGCACGCTTTGCATCGGAGAGACCGCCCTGCGCGAGGACGCGCTCGGGTTGCAGGGGCTGCGTGGCCGCCGGCGAACGCAAGCCGGAGAGGAAGGTTGCGGGGCTCCGGGGGCAGTGAGGCTGCGCCTTCTGCAGCTCTGGCGCAAAGGAGAGAATTACAGCCACGGCATGTGGAATCTAAACCAGTCTCTTGTCTTCAGTGAGACTGAGCAAATGAAAATGTTTGAAATGGACCACAGCCAAATGCTAGGCTGCTCGTTTGAAATCGAGGGTTCAAATTTTCTCTCATAAGCCTGGTGCTAAACACGGAGCTCAGAGTAAAGCTGCACTTTGGGGGCACAGCAAGTCAAGATTATTTCTTTCTGTTTGCATAAGCGCATCCCTGCTGGATCAGGCCAACCATCTGCTCTGGGTTAGCGACCTGCTTCCAAGAGGGGCAGCACACCTTTCCTGCTGTCTGATCCCTGTGCCTGGCATTCAGGCACTCTGCCTCTGGGCATGGGGTCCATTTCGCTATTACTGTCAACAGCTACTGGTGGGCCCACCTTCCTCGCAAATATATAAAAAACTCTGCTTGATGAAAGCAAAGAACTGTTCTTTTCATTGGAGAAGGCCGCAAGCAGGGCATGAGGCAAAGGCAGAGGGGAAGGAATCACCCCCCCCCCCCCGCACTGGAAAACTTGTTCAGCCCTCTGCTTAGTGGGCATTGTCCACATGGTTTAAACTACATCTACAGAATCACTGAGAGTTAGAAACTTGCATTTTATAAGATGCATGTTGAGACTGCCAGGAAGTGGAATTGTGCAACCAGTACCATGCTTTGTACCGTTTGTCCCTCCATCGACAGACAGACCCTCCGGAAGGGCAGGGCTGCTGGACGGCGGGTGCGCAGCGCATACGCCAGTCGGGTGAGGAAGTGAGAATGACGAGGATGACAGTTGTGGCAGCACCAGAGTCAGTCAGCGGAGGTCCCTGCAGCACGTCTGCCGAGCAGCCGCGTCTTTGTCCTCCTCCTCCTCCAGCCATGAAGGAGTCCAGCCAAGGCTGGGCTCTGGAACTGACACACAGGGGCTTGCGGGGGCTCCCCATTGGCTTCTGGGCCCAGGACAACGTGCTGGGACCCACCAACAAGGCCACATCTGGCGCAGGTCCAGGCCGTGCCCAGAGCATCAGAGGGGGGGCCTTTCTTGGCCCCTCGTTCCTCACAGGCATGCATGGTGGGGCACGGGAGAGGGCCTTCTCAGGGGCCACCCCAGCCTCTGAAAAAGCCCTCCTGGGAGGCACGCCTGGC